AATTTCCAGAAACCATATGACCCTTTTTTGGCGATCCGGGGCAGTCTCTTGATTGCGACTGATGCCTTGATAGCCTCGATCTGACGCAATCGACTGCGCTCGATTGTGATCGCTGGTTCGGGGGTTCCTGGCCTGAAGTAACAACCTTATGTGTACCGTGCAGTTTTCGCGATCTCTCGCCAAAAATGCCAGCGAACGTACGTAGAAGAATCAGAAGAATCGGTCTTAGTGCAATGATCTGGAATTCCCAACCTAGATCAAATAACACAAGGTCTAGGGTTTAAGGTCTAAACGATGAGAACTGCACCATGTCCTGAGTTACTAGTGATTGCCATATGGCCATGCACAACGGAGACCACTGTTACGAGTGCAATTGAGTGAACGAACGAGAATTGCACTATCGAAGCAAGAGTCCAATTAGTGGAGGCATGAGCGAAGAATATATAGCGAAACTACAATGGTAACGGTAATGGACAGTGGTTGTCGCGCGACGGGCCTGAGACTGAGGTTGGGAAAAGTGTCGAAGCGGAGGCTCGGAGCACGGGTTACCCGCCGAGCCGTGAGGTCCGGGTGTGATGTGCGAAGGTGGCGGGCGGATTGTTGATGCGAGGGTTGCGAGTGGTAACGGTGCTGACTGTGGTGCTACAGTAATGTACGCGTTGAGCAGGGATGCGAAGTAAAGAAAATGAACTTTCCTTACACTACCCCACCTCCTAAGGAGGTCCTCCTTACGCAAGTGCGTGTACATCCCTGAAATTTCGGCTGCGCAGATACTCGGTGAGGACGGGGTGGTTTTCGATTCTGTCCAAGGGAACCCAATTGTCTTCGGTGGGTGTACGGTCCTTCCAGCGGAGTAAGAACTCGATCCTTCGGGCTCCTCGAGGGTCGTGAACTCTGTGACCCAGGATTTTCTCGGGGGTGATGATTGGTTCACTTGGTGGTCTTGTCATGCTGGTTGGCTCGTGGACGGGACGTAAGGGCGAAGTAGGCTGACGTGGAATGAGGGGCTCACGTACCAGTCAGCAGGAAGGAGGAGGTGGGCGGTGACGGGTGTAAGTATGTGGCTTATGCGAACTGGCCCGCAGTATCGGGGGCAGAGTTTCGGGGTGATGGGCAGTCGAAGGTTCTGAGTGTCAAGTAAAACTAAGTCGTCGGGCTGGTAAGTGACAGGTCTGCGGTGGCGGTTGGCGTTGCGTTTAGCGATGATGTTCGATTTTTTTATTGCGTCTGCTGCCCGGGTCCGTGCCGCTTGTAATATTTCGGCGAACCGTTGTGCTCGTGGTACTGGGTTGTCGGGATTCGGGGTCATGGGTACTGTCGGGTCTTGTCTGTAGTTTAGGTAAAATGGTGACTGTTGGGTCGTGGCGGATGGCGAGTCGTTGTACGCGAATTCGATTAGTGGCAGTTGCTGTTCCCACGTGGTCGGGTCGTGACACGTGGCCCTGATGAGTTGTTCCATGGTCTGATTTGTCCGTTCTGTCTGTCCGTCGGTTTCGGGGTGGTATGATGAAAAGAACTGCAGTCGCGTGCCGAACTGCTACCACAGGTTTCGCCAGATGTTGCTGGTGAATTTGGTGTCGCGGTCGCTGATGATCGCGGCTGGTATCCCGTGCAGTCGAACGACGGTGGAGATGAAGAGGCGTGTTGTTTCTTCGGCTGTGATTGATTTTTTCCAGGCTGCGAGATGTGCCATTTTCGTCAGTCGATAGACGACGACCAGGATCGCGTCGTTCCCACTCGCCTCGGCTGGTAACCCCGTGACATAGTCCATTGTCACCTGCTGCCAAGCACGCTCTGGGGGTATCGGCTGCAACTGTCCCGCCGGCCGGTGTCGTGATGATTTCATGAGCTGACAAGTGGGACACGATGCCACGTGTCATTGTACGTCAGACAACATTTCGGGCTAGTAATAATACTACTGCAGCTGCTGCCGTGTTTTTTCTACTCCGAAATGCCCCGAGGTAACTCCGTCGTGTGCCTCCTGTAACAGTAATTCCTGTAGCACTGTATACCCAGGCACCCAAATGCGGTCAGTCCCGGGTTTTACGTAATAGACTCCCTTTGCTGCTGAGAACTGTTGCGAATTTCCCCCTGTGAAGAATGGATCCGTTTGGTACCCGTGGGTGAATAGGCCTGTCAGTAGCGGGCTTGTCTCGGCAAGTAGTATTGCGTGGATCACGGCAGTAGGGCAGGTCAGTGCGTCGGCAATGTTTGAGGCTCCCTTTTTGTAAGTGACTGTGTAGTAAAAGTTGGACTCGAGGAAATCGAGCCAGCGAATCTGTCGTGGGTTGAGGTGTGGCTGTGCGCGAAGGTACTATAGTGATTTATGGTCTGTCCTTACTATCACGTCCGCGCCAGTCTGTCAGAATGTTATTATCTAGCCTGTAGTGGGGTGCTCTATAGCGAGTACAACCCTGTTAGGGTTTGCTATATGTATCCCAACTGCTGCTAGTGAAACTCCTCCTTTGTTCTTTTCTCTCTTGCCTAGCTAGCTAAACCCTAGCTATGGCTCTATACTGTGACTACTATCTCAACATAGTATCAGAGCATCTACTCTCCTGGCGTGTGGGCCCCCCTAACTGCTTCCGCTGCTACTCTGTTTGTTGCACGCCCCGAGATTTTTTTTTTTTCGGTTTTTCTTTCCGCCGTGCGCTCGGGGCGCGCGGCGGTTTTCTGCCCGCCGTGCGCTACGAGGCGTGCGGCGGTTTCCTTCCTTGGGGACCCGCGCGCCGCCCCCGCCCTGCTCGTCGCAGCGCCATGGGGAGCACGCGCGGCCCCCGCCCTGCTCGTCGCGGCGCCCTGGGGAGCACGCGCGGCCCCCGCCCCTCACGTCGCGGCGCTCTGGGGAGCCGCGCGCGGCCCCTCGCTGCCCCGTGGTGGCGCCCTGGGGGCCGTGCGCCACCCCTGGAGAGGCGCGCGGTCCCTCGCTGCCCCGTGGTGGCGCCTTGGGGGCCGCGCGCCACCCCTGGAGCCGCGCGTGGCCCCTCGCTGCCCCGTGGTGGCGCCCTGGGGGCCGCGCGCCGTCCCCCTCGCCGTCCCCCGCGCTCCTACCCCGTGCCACCCGTTTTAGGGTTTGGGGGTGGGGAGTGTGGGGGTGACGGTTGTGGGGGTGCCGGTTGTGTGCGCCGTCCCCTGCTCCTCCTCCTCCTCCGTCTCCCGCTGCTGCAGCTGCCGCTCAGGGGGATGGGTGTGTGGGAGCCGAAGGAGTGGTGCTAGGGGGGTGACGTGGGAGTGGAGTTAGGGGTTCAGCAGGGGGTGTGTGTCAAGGGTGTGGGTCAGTTGGAGGAGGTTGTGTGGAGGTAGCTGTCGTGTCGCCTGCAGCGCCTGTAGTCCGTCGCCCTTGCTTTGGTAGCCAGTGAGCCTGTTGCACCAGTCGCTAGTGGGTCCGTTGCTCCTGCCGCTCGTCTATAGCCGCGGAGCCAGTCACTCCAGTAGTCCGTCGCCCTTGCTTCGGTAGCCACTGAGTCAGCCGCTCTTGTGCCCGTGCCTCTGCAGCTTCAGTTGTTGCCTCCCATCTTCTCTCCGTCCACAGTACTCTCCTCCTCCTCACTTGCTCTGTGTGATAGCCTCTAGCTTTGCTTGCCATTGTGAACCTGCTCTATGAATGTGTGCTCTGTTGATTACACCCCACTTTGGCTATGGGGGTATGTCACAATGTTATTATCTAGCCTGTAGTGGGGTGCTCTATAGCGAGTACAACCCTGTTAGGGTTTGCTATATGTATCCCAACTACTGCTAGTGAAACCCCTCCTTTATTCTTTTCTCTCTTGCCTAGCTAGCTAAACCCTAGCTATGGCTCTATACTGTGACTACTATCTCAACACAGTCAAGTAACAGCGCCATACTTTGAACGCGTGTACGATCGCAAGCATTTCGCGGTCGTGTATCAGGTAATTTTTCTCGGGCGGATGCAGTTTTCGTGACTCGTATGCGATAGGTTGTAGGCCATTGCCGAAATCCTGTAGCAGTATGGCTCCAATGGCGATATCGCTTGCGTCGGTAACTACTTCGAATGGGCGGTGTGGGTCGGCGATGCGAAGGACGGGCGGTAAACAGAGAACACTTTTCAGGGCAGAGAAGGCAGCATGCTCTTTCTCCCCCCACGTAAAAGCGACCCCCTTCCGCAGTAAATCCGTCAGTAGGGCAGTTAACGGTGCCATATCGGGGACGAACCGACGCACATAATTAACGAACCCTAAAAAGCTCTGCATTTCCGTGATGTTCGTCGGGGGATGCCACGCTTTTACCGTATCCAGCTTCTTGTGGTCGATTTCAACTCCAGCCTCTGTCAGAACATTATTGCTCATACATTTGTGTAGGCTGTAGTGGGGTAGCCCATAACGGGTACAACCCAATTAGGGTTAGTATTTGTACCTAGCTGTTTCATAATCCATTCTCACTTCTCCTGATGGTATCGAGCAGGTTCCTGAGTGGGAATACTGCCTAGGGCCCACCACGAACTTTTTTTCCGTCCCTGCCCGGAGCGCGCTTCGCTCCCAACCCGAGTAGCGCCTTGAGCCGCCCTTACGGCCCCTTCGCGCCGCTCTTACGGCCCCTTACGGCCCCGTCCGGCCCCTTACGGCCCCGCTTAGGCCCCTTACGGCCCCGTCGCGACCTCGCCTAGGCCCCTTACGGCCCCGTCGCGGCCCTGCCTTGGCCACTCCGTGGCCCCGTCGTGCCCCTTTCGGCCCCGCCTAGGCCCCTTACGGCCCCTTCGTGGCCTCGCCTAGGCCCCTTACGGCCCCTCCGCGGCACCGCCTAGGCCCCGTCTGGCCCCTTACGGCCTCGCCTAGGCCCCTTGCGGCCCCTCCGCGGCCCCGTCTGGCCCCTTACGACCCCTTTGCGGCCCCACCTAGGCCCCACCGCAGCCCCATCTGGCCCCCTTTACAGCCCCGTCTAGCCCCTTGTCTGACCCCTTTGCGGCCCCGTCGCCACCTGCGGCCCCGTCGCCACTTGCGGCCCCGTCTCCACCTGCGGCCCCGTCGCCACCTGCGGCCCCGATGCCACCTGCGGCCCCGTCGCCACCTGCGGCCCCATCGCCACCTGCAGCCCCGCCGACACCTGCGGCCCCACCGCCACCTACGGGCCCGTCGCCACCTGCGGCCCCGCAGCCACCTGCGGCCCCGTCGCCATCGGCGGCCCCGCCGCCACCTGCGGCCCCGCCGCCACCTGCGGCCTCGCCGTTGCCTGCGGCCCCGACGCCCAGCGCCCGCACCACCGAGCAGCCGAACCGCCGCCCAGCTGAGCCGCCCGACCGCCAAGCCGCCCAGCAGTCGAGCCGCTCGACCACCGAGCCGCCCAGCAGCCGAGCCGCCCGACTGCCAAGCCGCCTAGCACCGAGCAGCCGAGCCGCCCGACCGACGAGCCGCCGAGCAGCCGAGCCGCCCGACCGCCGAGCCGCCGAGCCGCCCGACCGCCCCTCTTGCCTAGTAAGAGCATAGTCTCTGCCACTGCACTGCCCTGCCCCACTCTACTCACTGCCTGCCTACTGCAGTTATGGCCTCCCCTAGCGTTCTCACCTTTGACGCTGAGGGTAGGGCAGTGGACTTTGAGTTCTGGGTAGATGATCTGCAGCTTTTCCTACAGTGCGATAGGGCAGACGGCCTCTCCCTCTTTGACCTCACTTTTGGTGCCTCCCCTGCCCCTGCTGCTGATGCTGACGCCACTGTTCGTTCACAATGGGCCACGCGCTATGCTGCTGCTCGCCTTGCTGTGCGCCGCCACTTAACGACCACTGAGCGTGCACACTTTAGCCACTACAAGAGTGCTCAGACCTTGTACGATGCTGTAGTTGCACGCTACTCTTCCCCTGCCACTGCTGCACTGAGCCGCCTCATGCTACCGTACCTCTTCCCTGACCTTGCTACCTTTCCCACAGTCGCTGACCTCATTACGCACCTCCGCACTAGTGACACTCGCTACCGCCCTGCGCTTCCTGCTGAGTTCTGCGCCAAGAACCTCCCCCCCCCCCCCCCCCCCCCCATGTACATCACCCTTTACTACATAGTCACCCGGCTCCCTGACTCTCTCCGCGTAGTCAGAGACCACTTCCTCCCAGTTTGCCCCACCACTCTCACCATTGACCTCCTCGAGAAGGCCCTCCTAGCGATACAGAAGAGCATTGTCGCTATAGGAGCCTCTCGTGGTGACCCTCACACCCCCGTCTTTGACGGGTGTTCTCCCTCCCCCCTCTTGCCCTCTATTGCCTCTGCTGCTGCGGCCGGCCTCGTTGGTTTTGAGTCGGTCGGCGCTGCGTCTGCCCCAAGTGGGAGACGCCTCACCGGCAAGGGCAATGGAGGCAAGGGCGCTGGAGGGGCTGGAGGGGGCGGTGGAGGTGGTAGTGGAGGCAATGGAGGGAGTGAGGGTGGTGGTGGGAGTGGTGCCGGGGGTGGCGGCGGCGGCGGCAGCAGTGGAGGCGGCGGAGGCGGTGGAGGTGGCGGAGGGAGCGGAGGCGGCGGAGGTAGTGGAGGAGGCGGAGGTGGAGGAGGCGGCAGAGGCGGCGGTGGTGGAGCGAGTCGCGACTCTGCGCAGAGGAGTGGCGCCGGTGGTGGTCAGCGCCAGCAGTAGCAGCGAAGTGGTGTGACCCTTTCCCCTCAACAGCTTCGTGAGAGGTACACTGCGCGTCAGAGCGGTGGGGGTTTTGGTCCGTGCTCTTACGTCCTCCGTACCGGCGACCGCGCTGGTGAGCAGTGCGGAGGCTTGCACTCCACCCAGCGCTGCTTTGGTTGCCTGACGGACGCGTGGCGTTGCCAGCTCCCTGAAGCGTCAGAGATCCCTCGCTGGGGAGATCTGGCTAAGACCGGGGTTGCTATCTTTGATCTTGACTTTGATGCTATCCTTGCTGCCATGTATGCTGTTGATACTATTGTTGTTGGTGACTTTTACCTCTGTGTACCGCCTGACCCGGGCATTGAGGCTGCTGCTCTAGGTGCTGGTGAGGCTGCTGCTCTAGGTACTAGTGCGTCTGCTGCCCCAGGTGCCAGTGCGTCTGCCCCCCCAGGTGCTGGTGAGTCTGCTCTCTCAGGTACTACGCCGGCTCAGGCCTTACACACATTCATCCCGGACTCGGGTGCGTCCCGCTCCTTCTTTCGAGACCGCACCACTCTTACGCCGCTTAGTCGGCCGGTTGCAGTCTCCCTGGCAGACCCCTCTGGGGAACCTGTCCTTGCTAGCTTCTCCCCTGTCCTTCTGTGCCCGGCAGCCCCCTCTGGCACCTTGTCTGGTCTCTACCTCCCCTCGTTCTCTATGAACTTGGTGAGTGGAGTGGACCTACAGGATCGAGGGGTTGACCAGTTCACTCCTGCAAGTCAGCGAGTGACCCACTGCACGTGTGCTCGGACAGGCCGACACTTGGCCACGTTCACCCGTCGGCCAGGGTCGAGCCTGTACACCCTTACTACTGAGTGTCCTCCTGCTGCTGAGTCTGCCCAGGTAGCTGCGTCGAGTCAGGTGTTTGCTGCGGCGTCCAGGTCTGGTCCTGAGTCTGCCCCCTGCTCGTGTCGTCTGCTGTCCCACCAGACTCTCCTTTGGCACCACCGCCTTGGTCACCCCTCCTTGCCTCGTCTCTGAGGCATGACCTCCCGTGTCCTTGTCTCTGGTCTCCCTCAGTCTCTCCCTCCCCTTCCTCTGGGGCCTGGCCCTACCTGCGTCCCCTGCGTCGAGGGGCGACAGCGCGCCGCCCCTCACTCCTCCGAGTTTCCTCCGACAGAGGCTCCGCTGCAGACTCTCCACATGGACGTGTGGGGCCCAGCCCGCGTCAGTGGGCAGGGGCGAGAGTGGTACTTTCTGCCGGTCGTTGACGACTACTCGCGCTACACCACAGTCTTCCCCTTGCGCAGCAAGGGAGACGTCACTAAGGTGTTGATCGACTGGATCCGCGCAGCTCGTCTCCAGCTCAGAGAGAGTTTCGGCTCAGACTTTCCTGTCAAACATTATATATGTTGTGCTTGTTTAGGCTATAGTGGGTTAGTCTATAGGGGGTACACAATTCTTGGGTTAGGTACTTGTACTGATTTCACTGCTAGTTCAATCACTTTTTCTTGTTCCTTCATTCTAACATGGTATAGAGCAGTTCCTTCCTAGGACCGTTTTTTTTGTTTTTAGGGCCCACCACTACCTACCTAACTACCTACGCCCTAGCGCGCCTCGGTTTTTTAATGGCCCCGTTGGCCCCGTGCTAGCCGCCCCTAGAGGCCCTCCTTACGGCCCCGCGATCGCCCCTAGAGGCCCCGTTGGCCCCACGCTTACCTCCCTAGAGGCCCCGTACGGCCCCGCGATCGCCCCTAGAGGCCCCGTCGGCCCCACGCTTACCTCCCTAGAGGCCCCGTACGGCCCTGCGATCGCCCCTAGAGGCCCCGTCGGCCCCACGCCTGCCTTCCTAGAGGCCCTCCTTACGGCCCCGTGATCGCCCCTAGAGGCATCGTCGGCCCCGCGCTTACCTCCCTAACGGCCCCGACCTCGCCCCTAGAGGCCCCGTCGGCCCTGCACTCGCCCTTAACTGCCCCGACCAGCCCCACGCTCTCCCTTAACGGCCCCGATCGGCCCCGCGCTCGCCCCTAGAGGCCCCGAACGGCTCCGTGCTCGCCCCTACGAACCCGGAACAGCCTTGCACTTGCCCTTCATGTCCCCTTACGGCCCCGCGCTCGCCCCTAACGGCCCCTTACCGCCCCGCGCTCGCCCTTCACGGCCCCTCCGGCCCCACGCTCACCCTTCACGGCGAGTACCATTGTGTCTGTGCTTACCATCGTGTCACGGCTGTACCATTGTTAAGGGCTCAAACATCGTGTCTGGGCTATACCATCGTTAAGGGCTCAAACATCGTGTCGGGGCTGTACCATCATTAAGGGCTCAAACATCGTGTCTGGGCTGTACCACCGTTAAGGGCTCAAACATCGTGTCTGGGATGTACCATCGTAAAGGGCTAAAACATCGTGTCTGGGCTATAACATCGTGTCTCGGCTGTACCATCCTGTCTGGGCTATAACATCGTGTCTCCGCTAAACCAAACCGACTGTCCTTCCCTGTCCTCCGGTCCCGTCGGGCACACTGTCCGGTCTCCACCTCCCCTCGTTCTCTACGAGCCTGGTGGCAGGATGTGCGCTCCAGGACGGGGGTGTTCACCAGTTCACCCCTGCCTACAAGCGCGTGACACACTGCACGTGTCCTCGTACGGGCCGTCACTTGGCTACCTTCACTCGGCAGCCTGGGTCGGACCTGTACACACTGACCACTAAGTCCCCTCAGGTCGCTGCTTCTGCGTCTGCGTCCGCGTCAGGTCAGCTGTCGGCCCCCTGCTCGTGTCGCTATTTGGCACACGAGACTGACCTCTGGCACCACCGACTTGGCCACCCGTCTGTGCAGCGTCTTCGTGCCATGCACTCCCGGTACCTTTTCTCTGGCCTTCCCAGGGTCCTTCCTCCCATCCCTCCCTCACCTGCTCCTCCGTGTCTTCCCTATGTCGAGGGGCGGCAGCGCGCTGCTCCTCACTCCTCCTCGTTTCCCTCGACGACTGCTCCCTTGCAGACGCTCCATATGGACGTGTGGGGCCCAGCCCGCGTCCGTGGTCAGGGTCAGGAGAGGTACTTCCTGATAGTTGTTGACGACTACTCGCGCTACACCACGGTCTTCCCCTTGCGCACCAAGGGTGAGGTCCCTGATGTCTTGATCCCTTGGATCCGCAGAGCCCGTCTCCAGCTCAGCGAGCGCTTTCACTCGGACTTTCCTGTCCTGCGCTTGCACTCTAACAGAGGTGGTGAGTTCTCCTCCAACCTCTTGGCAGCCTACTGTGCTGAGCACGGCATTGAGCAGTCGTTCACGCTTCCGGCCTCTCCACAGCAGAATGGGGTTGCGGAGCGCCGCATTGGCCTGGTCATGGAGGTCGCCCGTACCTCCTTGATCCATGCGGCTGCCCCCCACTTTCTGTGGCCGTTTGCGGTCCGGTACGCTGCGCATCAGCTCAACCTCTGTCCCCGTGTCTCCTTGCCGGAGACCTCGCCCACGCTGTTGTGGACGGGGGAGGTTGGCGATGCATCGTGTTTCCGGGTCCGGGGATCTCGAGCTTTTGTCCGCGATACGTCTGCGGACAAGCTCTCCTCCCGTGCTGTTCCCTGCGTCTTCCTCGGCTTTGTCTCGGACGCGCCTGGTTGGCAGTTCTACCATGCCACCTCGCGCCGAGTCTTGCCCTCTCAGGACATCACATTTGACGAGTCCGACCCCTACTACCGACTCTTCCCCTACCGCACTGCCCCGCTCCCCCCCCCCCGCCTCTCTTCCTCGCGCCAGGTGCTGCTGTCGTAGACCCCCTCCCCCCTCAGGGTGCCGCTCCCTCAGGTGTGTCTCAGGTAGACCCGGTTGGGCCTGTTGAGGTAGCTGTCGACTCTCGTCCTGTTGCGGGTGCGGAGCCTGTGGGTGCTGAGCCTGGGGGTGCGGAGCCTGGGGGTGCTGAGCCTGGGGGTGCTGAGCCTGAGGGTACTGAGCCTGGGGGTGCTGAGACTGGGGGTGCTGAGCCACAGAGTTCGGAGTCTGGGGGTTCTGAGTCTGGAGGTGCTGGTCCTGGGAGTCCTACACCTGGAGGAGCCCTCTCCTCGGAGCAGCTGCGTGAGTGGTACTTACAGCACTGCAGCCTCACGAGAGGTACCCCTAGAGCCAGGCGTGCTGCTGGGACTGGTGCTAGTGCCTCTCCTCCTAGTCGGGAGCTCCCCTCCCGTGAGCGGATCCGTGAGTGGTACGAGCAGCGCTGCACTCTTCGGAGTGGCGCGCCTGGTGTGGCGGACCCCACTGCTGCTTGCGGTGTTGCTGGTGCTGGAGACTCTGCTGGTCCTTCTGGTGCTGCGGACCCGGGCGTTGGAGCTGCTACTGGTGCTGAGGACCCGGGCGCTGGTGCTGCTGCTGGTGCTGTGGACCCGGACGTTGGAGCTGCTGCTGGTGTTGCGGACCCGGGCGTTGGAGCTGCTGCTGGTGCTGAGGACCCGGACGCTCGTACTGGTGCTGGTGCTGAGGACCCTGACGTTGGTGTCCTTGCTGGTTCTGGAGTTGCTACACGGCCGCAGCCGTACTTCGTTCCGCTCCTTCAGCAGGTTCTTGGTCAGCTCCCTCCTCCTTGTCCTCCTCCCTCCTTAGGGTGTCCTCCGTCTATCCTGCTGCAGTCACAGCTACCGTCTGCCTCCTCTCTCCCTGGTCCTGCTCCTTACACTGGTCCAACTGGAGGTCTTACTGAGCGTTGTGAGCGTGAGTCTCGTCCTGCGTCGCCTGAGTCTCGTCGTGCGTCTCCTGTCCGTGCTGCTCTCACTGGTAGTCATGTCGAGCGTCAGCGTCTTCCTGCTGTCCCAGGCACTTACCGGATGGCACTTCGTCCCTCCAATGCTCCACAGGGTGTCCCACTGCCGTCTCCTCCTACGTCCTCTCTTCCTGCTCTTGCTGACCCGGGGTCAGACTCCCTTCGTGCTGCCAGTCCTACTATCACGCGTCTCCTGGCTACTGTTGTCACTGACTCTTCCTTTGAGTCCGCTGCTGCGTCTGCCTTAGTTGCTGAGCTTGTCGACTTTGCTGCCACCTGTCGTCTAGACTAC